TTGCAAGCGCACAACTCACGTGCACAAGCACGCATAAAACGTATCATTTATATGTAACACACTTAGCGGATGCACGGCCTACTTATGACGTTGCTGGCTTTATGGTTTTATGATGCTGAAGAAACAAGCGGTCGACCTACTTATGATTAACCCGAAAGCCGCGAAACCAATCAGATGCCACGCATGTCGAAGATGACATATGTTCTGACTTTGAGCCCCAGCACCCACGCACAACCACTCTGCGCCAGTCTTTGGATTTTGCCCCACGTCGACCATCGGTCCAAAACATATGCGACGGTGCGCGGGCCGTCTTGGATGGGGGGAGAGAGAGAGAGGAAAACGAAGCGAGACAGTGGGAGGCCTCTCGAATCCCCCCTGACCCCCTCGAGGCCCCGTTGGGCCCTCTCGATGCCCCCTCTCGCGAGCTTATCGAGCCCCCCTTGGGACCCTCCAGAACCGCCTCGGGGGCTTCCAAAAGCTTTCGCCAATTCCCCCATGGGGCACCTTACTTGTGGCTGGCCCCCCCTGGTGTTCCCTGGAGCCCTCTTTGTTGTGTTTATGATGATTTTCTGGGGTCTCCGTCTGGCTAGAGTGCTCGTACAGGAATGACCACGCGTTTTACCCGATATCGCATCTCTATTGTGTTTCTCTACTGCTACTCGCGAATGCACTATCGCGCCAGCCAAAGTCTCTGGGCACAGGGGGGGGCAAGCCCTCATCTCCACATACGTACCTACACACATGCTGCATAATATAATATTGGTGCACTTCCGACTCTGGCGTACGGTACCACAACCATCGACAACACCATCACCAGCACCAGCGCCAATACCAACACCAACAGCATCACCGGGCGGATGGACAAACAAAACTGCCACAGGGACAGTTACCTTTGATATCTCTCTCTCTCTCTTTCTCTCTCTCTCTCTCTCTTTATCTCTCGTTATCTCTCGACTTTATGAGTACATAAAGACACACGCATACATACATACATCTACATCTACATATACATCTAAATGTACATCTACATATACATCTACATATGCATCTACATCTGCATCTACAACTACATCTACATCGACATCTATATCGACATATACATATACATCTACATGCTAGCCAGCGTGGACACCAGACAGGGTAGTTCCAGCCGCCTACGCTGCGCAATCCACGTGAAGCACCCTATGTGGTGCGATCGGCGTGTTGCAGCCTAGGTTGTGCAACGTACGTTGTGCAACATATGCTGTGCGACCTGTGTGAAGCAATCTCTGTTGTGCAATAGATGTGATGCAACCACTGCTGTGCAATCTACGTTGAGCAATCTAGGTTATGCCATCTGCATGTAGCAATCTATGTCGTGCAACCTACGTGGTGCAATCTAGGTGGTGCCATTCACGTGCCGAATTTAAAGTTGTCAAGTCCACCGCTCTCGCAATCATCCCACCCACCCACCCGCAATTGGTTTGCAAAACCCATGCGGAAGCCATTGCGATGAGTGCTGGGTGTTGGTTGGTGCATCTTTGCGGCCGCGCTAACCCGCGCATGCGTGCGCGCGCAGCGGCCAGCTAGTTTGGCGCGTACGACGCGGGCGCGGTGGCCCTGACCGCTCGGCACACCCCAGCGGGCACTTCAGTACGAGTCGGCGACTTGGGCGGGCGCGGTACCATGGCAACGTCGATAACGGCAGACACGATGATAACGGGGCAGCACGTGACAGCGCCAATGTTGATCACGCCAGCGACGATGACGGCGTTTTCGCGTCGGTGGTGCAAGTTTTAAGAGGACCTCGAAATGCGCGCGCGGCAGACGCGCGAGAGTGGCCCGCATGGTATACTTTGACACGGATCGTGCCATGGCGTTCGACCGATTTCGAAATGCGCACGCGCGAAGCCCGTTTGGTAACGTTTTCTGGCGGGGGGGCGGATACCAGCCTGCCTGGGATGGTACAAATTCAGATTTGGAATGGACGATGGTGCAGAATCACATGTAAATTGCAATACGAAAAGGGAGGGTCCATAATCCCAGGGGGGGGCGAGTCTATTCTCTTTTCGAAATGCGAACCGACATGGAGCAACATATGTTTGCCATCTTTCTAGAGCAGTATATGTGGCGCAACCAATGTGGTGCAATCTACGCGGTGCGATCAATGCTGCACACCCCACGTGGTGCGGGATATATGGGTCAAACCGCCCAGCCGAACATGAAGTTGACAACTCCACTGCTCGTGCATCCATCCCACCCACCTACCCGCAACTTGGTTTGAAAAGCCCATGCGGCGGCGATTGCGAGTTTTGCTCGACGCTGGCTTGCGCATCGCTGCGGCCGCGCTCGCACGCGCATGCTCGCGCGCGTAATGGCCAGCTAGTTTGGCGCGGCCGACGCGGCCGCGGTGGAGCTGACCGCCGGGCGGGCATTTCAGTACGAGTCGGCGAGTTGGGCGGGCGCGGCAGCATGACAACGTCGACAACAGTAGACAATGTTGATGGTAGCGACGCTTGTGACGATGATGACAACAACGACGGCAAGGCCACTGACGGCGCCGATACTGATCACGCCGGCGACGATGACGGCGTCCTCGCGTCGGTGATGAATGTTCGCAAGGAGTTCGACATGCGCGCGCGGCCGACGCGCGAGAGTGACCCGCTTGGTACACTCTGGCACGGATAGTGCCCCCCCAACACGCACGCAAGGGCGTTCGAATGAGTTCGGCATGCGGCGCGAGGAGGCCCGTTTGGCAGAACTGAATGGACACGTTGATGAGAAAGCATGGTTTGCGATTGCACAAAAGCGCGAGCGCAAACATGCTTGACAGATTATGATGCAAAACCATGTGTTGTACATATATATATATATATATATATAGATATGTATATGAAGTTCGATATAAAAAACCATGCGAAACCAACGGTTTTCAAGGACTTCGGCGCGCGCGCGACGACGCGAGCGTGTGCACGTCGTCCTACTTGTTGCAAGGGGTTCTTGCGACAGCACGCGCGTAAGGGCGTTCTTGTATAAGTGATGGTTGTCTCGAGAATTCGCAAGAACGCGGGCGCAGGCGTTGTTTGGAAGCTCCGGTTGCGAAATCACGGGTTTTCATGTGTTCGGGGCACTCGATTTTGCAATCCTTACGAAACCTGTGGCTTTAGATAGGTTTCGACATGCGCGCGCGACGGCGTGCGCGCGCGTGCACTTCGTCCCGTTTTTTGCAAGGGCTTCAAGACAACTGATGGTTTTTGAAAAACGAGTGCGCGCGCAAAACAGTTCTGCAGAGAGTGGAGGGGGGCGGCGATACCGGCCTGCCTGGGATGGAATGAATTCATTTTTAGGATGGGCAATAGGGCAGAATCATATCTAAATTGCAATTCGAAAAGGGCAATGCAGAACAAAGCATTTCAAAGCAAGACCACGCAACACAAAGAAATGCAAAGCAATGCAAAGCAACGCAAATCCATACAAAACAATACATGTGGTGCGACCTAACGGCGGCGACGAGCGGCAACGAGGCGGCGACGGGGCGGCGACGGCGGCAACATGGCTGCCAGACCGACAGACACTGCCAGACGACGGGCGGCGACTAGGCCACGACGGGGCGGCGACGGCAGCCACACAGCCGCCAGACCGAAGACACGGCCCAGCTCCGCAGAATAGAAATAAAAAACCCTGAGTGCAAGCGCCGTTTGGGGAATATGCATGTACGTATGCATGTACACTTGTATACGTACATTTGCTGGCGTAGTCCGGATTTGTTTTTCGCGAGGTATCTGACCTGAACTCAACTGTAGTGATCTGCAGAACTGAACTGCACTGAACTGGAATGAACCTCTGGCGAAAGCAATCTGGAGCTAATATACTTTATCGTCGGGCCGAGGCCCGTAGGGACTTCCAAGGGATAGGAGCTCCAAAGGGCTCCCAGGGGCCCCTTGGGGCCCGTTGCCGACGACGATCGACGTCGACGACGCGTGCGACGACGCGAACGACGACGTGTACGACGACGACGTGCACGCTACGTATGACGACGACGCGCGGCAACAAAATTCAGACCATTCAACTCCTGCAACTTCTTCCTTGCCTTCCGATTTCGATTCCGATCCGGCTTCACGCGAGCCGGTCTCCGATTCGATCTGGTTCGGGCTTACATATTGTTATCACTTCGATGGCGCAGCTGACTTTGCCGAATCTTGCCGATTCGATACTCGCGCCGATCCGATTCGATTTACCGTCCCGATGCTGGGGCCTGGTCCCTTACGGGCCCCTACAAGCCCTTAAAAGCCCCTAATCCCAACCCCTAGGGTTATGTAGGCAATGTCCTCCTACAGGCGGATTCTGGACGAAGACGAGAAGATAGTAAAGAAATACTCAAAACTAGTCCAAGAATGTAAAAGGAAAATCGTCCCCAGACTTTTTGGGGACTTTTCGACTATTCTTGAATTTTCCTGCTGTAGAGGGACATGCCCGACTTAACCGTAGGAGCCCCTGGGGGCCTTGGGGGGCCCCAGGCCTGTCCCCGAGAGGGGGGCCCCAGGACCGACCTCTAGGGGCCCCAAGCCCGGCCCGGCCCCTGGGGGCCCCGAAGGGCCCTATGGGGCCCCTAGAGGTCTCAGCCCGGGCCCCGAGGGACCCCTAGGATTGTGAACGGCATGACGATGGACACCCCAACAATCCGATCATTGATTCAAACATGTGCTTAAAATGTTTGCGAAATGTTCGAAGCGTGTTTAAAACATGTTCACCATATTTAAAACATGATTAAACCATGTTTTACACATATGGAAATCATCTGGCAACATGCTTCCTCTCCATTGTTCGACTTCCACAGCCCTAGGAGCCCAAGGCCTGGGCGAAGGCCCCAAATGGGACCCAAAAGGCGCCCCACAGGATCCCATCCCAAGACCCACACGTGGTCCAGGTATCGGAGCTGGCGCGAGCCGAGTAATTAATGCAGTCGCGCCCCGCTCGTCAGTACAGATTCCGGACGTGCACATCGCGAAGCGAAGGGAATCTCCATCGGTGGGGTGCTTGCAGTCGACTGGCGTCAACCGGTAAACGGTCTCGTCGGGAAATCCGCCACTCTGCCGCAGTCATCAGTGGAACGTGTCCTCGGGTCGCGTGTCGTCCTGAACATTGGCGCTCGGATGACAAATCATGCAAACCCCTGGATGCCCGACTTCTGGGCGCTGCCACACGCTCCTGGGCAATACTGCGCGCTTCTGGGGCTCCCCGCGTGAATTTCCCCCATGCTTTGGAACCGCGGTTGGGACACCAGACTTCTAACATGCACTAAGATGGACCCCATAGCTCGTCCTTGAATCGTCTCGAAAATCGTTTTGGCCGTCTTGCAAGCCATTGAGCGCCAGAACCGTCAAAAACCCTGCGGCTCTTGCGTGAGATAAATCTAAGACGGACCAAGAGGCCCCCAGTACTGCCCAAGATGGCACCCAGAATCGCTCAAGACGGATCCAACAGGCTCCAAGACTGCCCCAAGAGGGATTCATGCGTGGTTGGAAAATCCGCCCCGAAGATGGCCCCAAGACCTTAAACAAAAACCCAGGAGTCCCTTCAGAGGCTCCCACGAGACTCCCAAGAGACCCGAACAGGCTCTCCGGATGCTCCAGAGAGTCCCTCAAGATGCCCTCAATAGGTCCCGAAGTGCCCTCCAAGTGGGCCCACGGAGGCTCCTAAGAGGCTCACGCCCGAGGAACCCGCAGTACTCCCACATCTGCTCTGCAGCGCCTTACGCCCACGACTCAGGCGCGGTGGCCGGATGCGCCGGAGGCCGCCGGATACTGCTGGCACCAGCACATTCTCGGAAAAGTTGAAGGCCATGTATCCATCCTGGTGAGAACTGGTAGTCATGATGAGGGCATCCCGCTCGCAGGCCAGCGCGTGGGGCTGGAAAGGTTGACGCTGGCAATCTTCGAAGCCCGATGATTCGTTACCCGACGCCGCGACAATGGCCCCTACGGCCGCGACGACCCACAATACGGCGATCCAAACGTGGAGCCCACGGGTCCACCGTGAGCATTCCTGGTCCGACTGGTAATACCGGGCCTCAACTTTCGCGACAACATCTTGAAGGATTTGTCGGACATCTTGACGGCCTTGGTTACTCGACTCTTCTTGGTCGGTCTGGCCCTGTTCGGGCTCTCGGCTGTCACTTTCGTTCGCTTGTTCTTGGCCTTTCTTGCCATAGGTTCTCAGGCCATCGGAGAGTATCTTGCTTAATCTACCACACATCGTGATTCTGCGTTGGTCGTCACTTTCACGAACGTCTACTTGGTCATTGGCCATGCCTTTCTTGGCAGTCCTTGACAAGTGTCTGGCAATCAACCGACGTATCCGGCGTGCTGACAGTAAGGCGAAAATGCAGCGTAAGAAAAAACCCAGAGGGACACAAACCGCGGACGAAGTCTCTCCTAAGTCAAAAATCGGCACCCATGTCAACAGTGGACCACAAATGTAAAGAAATGCCGAGAACGAGCTTTGACAGCATTGCCTTTTCCACCACGTGAAGATCGTCATGAATCCGTTTCCGTGCCTTGAGCCCGTCTCGTCGTGGAGTCCCCCAGGGCTGATACAGTCCTGAGTACTACTTTTCGAATGGAGTGTAGGATTCGTGGGGGCCCGAATCCCCGATTCACCGGAACTCCCGGGTGATTCCAGGTGCTCTTGGGGTGCGTCGCGTAAGCTGGGGAAGCGTTATGCGGCAACCCATGGGAGCCTCCCATACCATCTTGCTGGCTCTTCCGAATCGACGCTGAACGACGCTGATTCGTCGCACGTCTGCACTACCTGTTCGATTACCAGACGCCAATCAAAGCTTGTGCACTCCAAAGACGACATTGCGAGGGGACGCAAACCTCCCATGATTTGCTACTGTGCCTCTAGCACGAAGGGGGCCGGAGATTGGCGGGAGGGGCCGCAGGCCACTAGATCCGCCACCGTGCCTCTGGCACGAAGGGGAGCGCCCCAAGGCTCATGCAGCACTGAGGGTAGACGCTGCGCTGCTGCTGCAGCGAGAACTGTATGTCTCCAAAGGCCCAGACCACTAGTTTCCCAAGCTTTTCCGGACCGGCTCCTGTGAGTTCTGAAGTGTTCCTGCTCCTCCCGAGGACGCTGTGCCCACCTAAACGACCTCCCGAACCCTCCCATAAGTCCAAGAGGGCCCCGAGCGAGTCGCCGAACGATCGCTCAAAGACGCCCAAGATGGCCTCAAGATGGCTCAAAAGGCCTCCAAGACGCTACAAAAGGCCTCCAAGAGGCCTCCAAGAGGCCTCCCGAAAGGGCCCCAATAGGCAAAACTCAATGAGTTGCCTGAACTGTTTGAAGGATTTGGGCCGACGCTCCAAGACGGCCAAGAGGCCCCAAAGACCACCCCAAGACGGCGCAAGAGGCCTCCAAGAGAGCCCCAAGACTGCCTAAGAGCGCCCCAAGTCGGCCCAAGAGGCGCCCAAGACGGCCCAAGGGCGCCCCAAGACGGCCCCAAAAGGAGCCCAAGAGAGGGAGCACGAACCGAAAATCCAAGCTTTCCGTCCCAAGAGGCTCCCAGGAGGCCTCAAGAGGCGCCCAAGAGGCCCCACGAGGCGCCCCAAAGGCCAAAAAAAAACGAGGCCGCAAGTGGCCCCAAAACGGCCCCCTAGAGGCCTCAAAACTGCCTCCAAGAGGCCCCCGAGAGGCCCCCCACGAGACTCCAACGAACATCTAACAGGCTTTTCATACCCACAACCCAGGCACGGTGGCGGGATGGGCCGAAGGTCATTAGATCCGCCGCCCCCTGCTTGCAGGGGTGCACGGCGTGCTGGACGTTTCAGGTTTTGGTTTTGGTTCTTTTTCTAAAAGAACTCCCCAGTGGGCTTCGGCCCGTCCCGCCGGCCACCCGGAAAGGATGCCCAGGAGCTCAATTCCCCAATTTCCTGCCCCAGACGGTTCCAAGATGGCCTCCAAGATGCCTCGAAGACGGCCAGGATGGTCTCTAAGACGGCTAAGATGGCCTTATGATGCCTCCAAGACGGCCCAAGATGTACCCAAGACGGCCTAAGATAGCCTCAAGATGGCCCAAGACGGCCCAAGAGGCCCCCCAGAGGCCTCCCAGACGGCCCAAGAGGCCTCCAAGAGGTCCTCCAGGAGAGTCCGAAGAGGCCAAAATCATTGATTTTCCCTTGGTTTTTGAAGGATTTTGGCATTTGCGCCTTTTCGGCTCTCCGACGGCTCAAGACGGCCCAAGAAGCCCCCAAGATCGCCCAAGAGGCCCCCAAGAGAGCCCCATGATGGCCCAAGTGGCCTCCAAGATGGCCCCTAGAGGGCCCCAAGAGGGCCCAAGAGGCCTCCAACACGCCCAAGATGGCCTCCAAGACGCCCAAGATGGCCTCCAAGACGGCCCTGGAGCATTCCAAGCGGGCCCCAAGTCGGCCCATAGAGGCCCCCCAAACGGCTTCCGACGGCTTCAGACGTGCCAGGAACCCACCAAGATGGCCGAAGTTGGCTCGAAGCTGGCCCGAGACGGCCCAAAAAGCCCCAAAGATCGCCCAAAGCTTGCCCAAGAGGCCTCCAAGACGGCCAAGATGACCTTCAAGATGCCCACGTGTTCCCCGAAGGCTTTCCAAACCGATTCGGGGAACACGTGGTCCGATAGCTTGGCAGGTCTGGCCTCAACGTTCGGCCACATAGGCGCTTCCAAAAAGGCAGGGGGCGGCGGTGATTCGCCGTAGGCGTCTTCGATCCGCCGCCCCCTGCTTGCAGGGGTGCACGGCGTGCTGGATGTTTCAGGTTTTGGTTTTGGTTCTTTTTCTAAAAGAACTCCCCAGTGGGCTTCGGCCCGTCCCGCCGGCCACCCGTAATTTTCCCAAAATCCGTCTGTCAATGCCTTTGTTGCCCCAACTTGGCCCAAGATGGCCTCCAAGACGGCCAAGATGGCCCAAGATGGCCTCCAAGATGCCTCCCAGACGGCCAAGATGGCCTCCAAGACGGGTAAGATGGCTCCAAGATGCCTCCAAGACGGCCCAAGATGCCCTCCAAGACGGCCAAGATGGCCCCAAGATGCCTCCAAGATGGCCCAAGAGGCCTCCAAGACGTTCTCCAGGAGAGCCCGAAGAGGCCAAAATCATTGGTTTTCCTTAGGTTTTTGAAGGTTTTTTGCGTTTTCTTCTTTTCGGCCTTCCGACGGCCCAAGAGGCCCCCAAGATCGCCCAAGAGGCCTCCAAGAAGGCCCTATGACGGCCCAAGGGCCCCCCAAGACGGCCCCAAGAGCGCCCCAAGACGGCCCAAGAGGCCTCCAAGACGCCCAACATGGCCTCCAAGACGGCCCTGAAGCGCCCCAAGAGGGCCCCAAGACGGCCCAGAGAGGCCCCCAAGACGGCTCCAGACGGCGTCAGACGGACCAGGAACGCCCTAAGACGGCCAAAGAGACCCCCAGGAAGCCCCCAAAGGCCCCCAAGAGGCCCAAGGAGGCCCCCAAGATGCCTCCAAGAGGCCTCGAAGAGGCCCCCAAGAAGCCCCCAACAGACCCCAAGGGTGCCCCAAGAGACTCCTAACAACCCTCATCCTCCTACTCTATTTCTTCCTCTTCCTCTTCCTGTTCATAATCATTCTCTCCCATGTGTTCCCCGAAAGCTTTCCAAACCGACTCGGGGAACTCATGGTCCGATAGCTTGGCCAAGCTCTAGTCCAACTTTCGGCCACATCGGCGTTTCCAAAAAGGCAGGGGGCGGCGGTGATTCGCCGTAGGCGTCTTCGACATTACTGGCAGAAACAAAAACGTCAAGGCCAAGATGGCCTCCAAGACGGGTAAGATGGCTCCTAGATGCACCCAAGACGGCCCAAGATGGCCTCAAGATGGTCTAAGACGGCCCAAAAGGCCCGCAAAAGGCCTCCAAGACGGCCCAAGAGCCCTCCAAGACGCCCTCCAGGAAGGCCCGAATAGGTTAAAATCATTGATTTTCCTTAGGTTTTTCAAGGATTTTGGCATGTTCTTCTTTTCAGCTCTCCGACGGCCCCAGACGGCCCATGAGGTCCCCAACATCGCCCCAACAGCACCCAAGAGGCCTCCAAGATGGCCCCATGACGGCCCAAGAGGCCCCCAAGAAGGCCCCAAGAGGGCCTCAAGACGGCCCAAGAGGCCTCCAAGACGCCCAAGATGGCCTCCAAGACGGCCAAGATGGCCCAAGATGGCCTCCAAGATGCCTCCAAGACGGCCAAGATGGCCTCCAAGACGGGTAAGATGGCTCCAAGATGCACCCAAGACGGCCCAAGATGGCCTCAAGATGGTCTAAGACGGCCCAAAAGGCCCGCAAAAGGCCTCCAAGACGGCCCAAGAGCCCTCCAAGACGCCCTCCAGGAAGGCCCGAATAGGTTAAAATCATTGATTTTCCTTAGGTTTTTGAAGGATTTTGGCATGTTCTTCTTTTCAGCTCTCCGACGGCCCAAGACGGCCCAAGAGGTCCCCAACATCGCCCCAACAGCACCCAAGAGGCCTCCAAGATGGCCCCATGACGGCCCAAGAGGCCCCCAAGAAGGCCCCAAGAGGGCCTCAAGACGGCCCAAGAGGCCTCCAAGACGCCCAAGATGGCCTCCAAGACGGCCAAGATGGCCCAAGATGGCCTCCATAATGCCTCCAAGACGGCCAAAATGGCCTCCAAGACAGGTAAGATGGCTCCAAGATGCACCCAAGACGGCCCAAGATGGCCTCAAGATGGTCTAAGACGGCCCAAAAGGCCCGCAAAAGGCCTCCAAGACGGCCCAAGAGCCCTCCAAGACGCCCTCCAGGAAGGCCCGAATAGGTTAAAATCATTGATTTTCCTTAGGTTTTTCAAGGATTTTGGCATGTTCTTCTTTTCAGCTCTCCGACGGCCCAAGACGGCCCAAGAGGTCCCCAACATCGCCCCAACAGCACCCAAGAGGCCTCCAAGATGGCCCCATGACGGCCCAAGAGGCCCCCAAGAAGGCCCCAAGAGGGCCTCAAGACGGCCCAAGAGGCCTCCAAGACGCCCAAGATGGCCTCCAAGACGGCCAAGATGGCCCAAGATGGCCTCCAAGATGCCTCCAAGACGGCCAAAATGGCCTCCAAGACGGGTAAGATGGCTCCAAGATGCACCCAAGACGGCCCAAGATGGCCTCAAGATGGTCTAAGACGGCCCAAAAGGCCCGCAAAAGGCCTCCAAGACGGCCCAAGAGCCCTCCAAGACGCCCTCCAGGAAGGCCCGAATAGGTTAAAATCATTGATTTTCCTTAGGTTTTTGAAGGATTTTGGCATGTTCTTCTTTTCAGCTCTCCGACGGCCCAAGACGGCCCAAGAGGTTCCCCACATCGCCCGAACAGCACCCAAGAGGCCCCAAGACGCCCCTAGACGGCACAAGAAAGCCCCAAAACGGCCACAAAGACAGCCCCAAGACGGCCCGGCAGATCTCCCAAACGCCCACGCTGGCGTCCACTACGGCCACGATAAACCCAAGTGAGGCCACAGAGAGGCCCCCAACCCAGCCCAGACGGCGTCAGGCAGAACAGGAAGGCCGCAAGGCATCCAAAGAGGCCCCCAAGATGCTT